ACACACACACACACACACACACACACACACACACACACACACACACACACACTTCTGTCACTGCTTCTGCTCTCCATTTTTGCAAGTTCGACGGGAGTGCCCGTACCCTCCACACAGACTGCACTTGAAACTCCTAGTTGGCATCCCGTCCGCTCTTGCACGCTTGCGCACCTTTTGTTCGACGTACTCGCCCAGCCTGTGCAACAGGTGGCAAAACACTGCTTTCAACCATGTCTGGGCCATCTCCCTCCACTCCCGACCCCTCACCGCTGTCCTTTCCATCGGTGTCTCCGGCAACCTTGTCGGATGCCCACAACTCCCTTGGCCGCAGTGGATGGATCAACCCCGCATATGTTGCCCGATACTCCTGCGCAGAAAACTTTCGTAGCAAAAGCTCTGCGGGCACTGGTTTGTGCTAAGAATAGTCATGATTGCATGTGGGCAAGGAATGCCTCTCGATTGCCAGCACCTGCATATACAAGAACTTTTGCTCAAAACTACACGCTGGGAAGAGTTCCCGCACAACACCTCGAATATATCGTCATTCGTAGGGATCGCACGGTATCTTCGAGTTTTCTGCCTGTACACAGTTAGTGCGTGCTCCACCTCTGGGACAAGGACTGTTTGAATTTCTGTTGCAGCCCTGCGTCGACGGAGGAAGCGTTCACACAGTCGGCGACGGATGTCCTCCATCATGAACATGGACAGTTTCTCTCTAGCCTCCATAATACAATTATTTAAAGACTCTGATATGTTGGATGTATAGTGGCCATATCGCCTTCCCTCGAAATGCGAGTCGGCCCAATGAACAAGATCGCACATTTGTAAAAGCCACGCTGTTGTGTCGGAGTCCATACCACGCATGTGCGCAATCAAGTTGTCGAACTTCGCAACAGTGTTTGCCCTTGCAGCTGCCCACAACAACTTCTGGCACTCGGAGCATTTGTTCCGCTTCTTGATATTCTCACTAAGATGACGCATACAGTACCCGTGCGGAGAGCTTGGAAAAACGTCGCTCACCTCGTCGATGAGACCATTGTCTCGATCAGACAAGAAGGTTATAATCTCTGCATTCGTGGCCCGTGATTGGATTGTGGCGTTGAGGTGGTGGAGGAACCAAAACCAATTATCGTTGTCCTCGCCAGGCACAATCGCTAACGCCACCGGAAAGAGGTGACCTTCAGCATCCACACCTATCGCACATAGAATAATACCTTTGTATCTTGTCTTCAAGAATGTGCCGTCCAGGCCGAGGAGCGGACGACAGTGCATAAAACCTGCCAAACCTGCCTCCAATGCGTAGAACATGCGCTTGAACTGATGACATCCTTCCTCTGTTTGCACGAAAGCGCGGCTCCCCGGGTTAGAGTTCTGAACCTCGTCGCAATACATCCACAGATTGCAGAACCCGTCATCATCTAGCCCTGCAATTTTCGCCTTCGCCACTTCCTTCGCGGACGATACAAGTCGATACTTGATAGTCACTCCGTGTTGTCGGTATATATCTTTGACAAAGAGTTTGCTCACACCTCCACAACAGTGTGCGGTCATTGATTTGATCTTGAACGTCGGTCCACTGTGCACCGCTGACGCGTGCAGTTGCCAACCACAACCTTCCGCCTTGCATTTCACTGTGTACCTTGTCGGATCGGACTTCACAATCTGAAACTCGTACTTCTTCTTCACCGCATCATCTGCCACGACCTTCCTTAGTTCTGTGATGTTCGCAAACTCCTGTGCAGCGCGAACAAAACCGACTTCGTCAGGGAGCCAAGGGAGAGGAGCACCTGCCACGGGTTCGACATCGTCAAACTTCCCGCTCGAATAGTCCACATCCTCGTCGGATGCTCCATCCTCATCCGAATTCCACAATATGTGCTCCAGCCCGCCATCCTCAAAGACCGTTCGTGATCGTTTAGTTGCTAACTGCGCGCAAGAGGATGACTCGGCTGCAAAAACTTGCCCGGTGTTGAGGAAGGGGTCAATGGATGTCCTCGGAATTGGCATGGCTGGAATGCGCGTCGCGGCGCCTTGCTGGTCTTGGACGCCCATGCGCGTTAACACACTTGCTTGCTGCGTGACCGCACTCGCAAAGGGGTGTGTTGACGACCCACCAATCTCGTTAGGACCTTCAATCCCCATCTGCACACAAGGGGTTCCATGCACAACAAATGATTGGACAATTGTTGTAGAGAAGGCGGAAGCAATTCTCCCCGCACGGTCTATTATGCCCATTCCCGGTACAACTGAGTTTTGGTACACCGTGCGCAGCTCGTTGTACATTTCTTCGGTTGCTTGTAAAGAGCTTCAACAACTTTTCCGCCCTTACAAACTGATGGAGACTTGACAAGCCTGCACTACTCATGCAGCGGACACACGAGTTACCTCACGTCATAATGAATTCCACCGTGGCTGGTATGGGTGTTTGAAACTTCACATGAACGACAAAATCTCTCTCTCTCTCTCTCTCTCTCTCTCTCTCTCTCTCTCTCTCTCTCTCTC